TGGTTTAGAAAAAAGACGTCTAGAGTGAAGTTTTTAAAACTCCAAAAAAACTATAGTTTTAGCAATACCATGGTATTTAAAACCATAAAATTTGTTACACCCTAATACTTCATAGCACTCTAAAACCAAAGTATTTCACAAAACCATGGTATTTTTAAACTCCAAAAATACTTTGCATCCAAACATGGATCTACCAATCACATACGCACATGCGTTCTGGGATTTCTCTACATGTGCCCTTAGAGTTTATATGATATGACAGTGCGCTTGATCTAGTTCAAAAAATATTACAGAAAATAACTTAATCTCTATATATTTTAATATATCAGAAAAATATGTATCAATTTTCTTCAAAAACTGATATTTATCTGTTAATGTTCTTTTTAAAGTTATTTGGATCTTATTTGATTTAAATAAATATAATAAGCACGATTATAAGGAATAAAGTAATATGAATATAATGAATAAGTTTCAAATAGCTATAAATTGGTCATGAACGGATAGATAACGCTTTTAGAAAAAAATAGCACTAGTTTTCATATTTCCCTCATTTAAAATAAATTTTGCATTAGATTAAACCATATTTTTTATTACTTTTACAAAATTGAAAACCACCATCCAAACCATTGATGAGAGGATCAAATTTGATTGTCATGTTTTGATAGTTTAGCACATCCGATACTTGGTTTTGTAGTTCGAGGTTGAAAATTAGATGCACAAGTTGGAGGATAAAAAAATACACTTTACTCTCTCTTATATTGAAAAGGACTAAGCTACTTTTTATTAATTAGGCATATATTCCTTCATCATCTAAGTATCACGAGAGCACACCGGTGATATTATGACCAGAGACAAGAAACTTGACAAAATATAGCCTTTACTATATGCACTTCCTTCATTCTAATTTATATGTGGCTTTTCTAGACACATAGATTTATTATACACCTAGACGGAGTACTGTTATGTCCACGTATACAGTAAAAAAGTTATGTATTTGAAAAAGCCAACAACTTATAATTTGGAATAGAGAGAATACTAGTTAACAACCTATATATGTATATCAAGCAAATGAGAAATTAAGAGACATTTTCTTTGTTTTTAAGAGTAAGGTGATCTGCCTGTAGAGTTACACATGGATTGAAAACCGAAAGCATGTGATAACCCTTTAGAGCAACTCCAAGAGTTCCCCAAAAATGTAACCCCCAAACTCTGTATTGGGGGCTCTCTTAAATAATTGTTTTTCAAAAACTAGTTTCCTCCACAGCAGCTCCCTAATATTTTGCACCCAAATTTTTTTTGAACTTGCCACATCATCAATTAGTTGGATGAGGATGGGGCTAGAAACAGAATTAATTGGATTCCGACTTTTCCGTCTGCGTGACTTGTTCCATCCGGCCAGCAGTCGTTCCTCCTCCGTAGCTTCTGGACTCTTGATCTTTCTGTCCGCTCGTTCCTTCCTACTGGTACGACGACTCTATATCTCCAACCTTGCAATACACGTACGAGGCCAGGATGATCTCTAGATATGCTAGCGTCGCCATCAGGCTTGTGCTCAGAGCCATCGCTTGTGGCCTTGCTTGTTCTCTGCTAGCGCTCCTCTTGTTGACTTGTTACGACATCACAAAAAGATCTTCTGTAATATTGTCTGAATCCAGTTCGAGATAAGTAAAAACATCTGCACTAGATCAACATAGCTTTCGCATGAACCAGGTATTAAATGATTCATCGTCATCAAGTGATGATGATGATTTCTTTTTTGATGTCGTACGTGCGGTAATTGATGAGGATGAGTCTGATAAAGAACCAAAACATTGCGGTTCTATTCATGGGCATCGAATGCTTCAGCGCAATAAATAGGTAGAGGCTATACCAGGATTATTTCGGCGATGATCCTACGTATGCGCCAAATTATTTTAGACAAGAAGGTATGCGATGCAACACATTTTGTAGAAAAGATGCTTATATATGTGTGTCTAATTATTTCATAGTGTAGATTTTGAATGGGTCGTACGTTGTTTCTGTGCATACTGCAAGCTATAGAACAGCACGATGAATATTTTGTGCAAAAAAGGAATGTTGCGGTACACTTGATCTGTCTAGTTTGTAGAAGATTACATCAGCATTTCAGATGTTAGCTTATGGAGTAGCAGCTGATGCTATGGATGATTATGTCCGTACTGGGGAGAGTATTGCAATTGAAAGTTTCCGAAGGTTTGTCGCTGCTGTTGTAGAAGTTTTTGGAGACGAGTACTTGATATCGCCAAATGAAGATGATACCGCTAGATTACAAGCAATTGGAGAAAGAAGATGTTTTCCTGGTATGCTTGGGTCCATAGATTGTATGCACTGGAGGTGGGAAAACTGTCCTTATGAATGGCAAGGTATGTACAAAGGGCATGTGCATGAACCTACAATTATACTAGAAGCTGTTGCTTCAAAAGATTTGTGGACTTGGCATGCTTTCTTTGGGATGCCTGGTTCACACAATGACATCAATGTTTTGCAACGGTCACCTCTATTTGCAAGGCTAGCTAAAGGTCAAGCTCTAGAAGTGAACTATACCATTAATGGCCATGATTATAGAATGGGTTATTATCTTGCAGATGGCATATACCCTTCATGGGCCACATTCGTAAAGACCATACCCGAGCCACAAGGTAATAAGAAGAAATATTTTGCCATAGTCCAGGAAGCATGTAGGAAGGATGTTGAACGAGCTTTTGGAGTTCTACAATCTTGTTTTGCTATCGTTTGGGGGCCAACTCATTTTTGGGATGATGATACGCTTAGCCTAACTATGAGGGCTTGTGTCACAACATGATAATTGAGGATGAGCGAGATGATGATACCTTTGGCAGAATCATCCAGACCTATATTGAAAAGATCAAGATGCCTAAGAGGGGGGTTGAATTGGGCTAATTCTAAATTTTTGCAATAATTAAGCCCTACACTTAGGCCATTTCACCCCTTTTGTCTAGAATGTGTTTCTATTATTCTTCCGTACAAAAGTTTTACACCCTAGATTCTAATCCTACTCTAGCATGGCAATTCTAGGATGTAAAGATATGAAATGAGTTGCTCAAATGTAAATGCTCAAATTAAAAGAGGAAAAGGAACACGGCGATGTTTTCCTGAGGTATCGGAGAGTTGCCACTCCCCACTAGTCCTTGTTGGAACACCCGCGTAAGGGTGTAGCTCCCCCTTGATCCATGCAAAGATCAAGTGCTCTCTACGGGCTGATTCTTTGACACTCCGTTATGGTGAATCACCCACAACCGCTCACAACATGACTTGGGCCATCCACAAGCTCCACCGGATGATCACCAAGCTCCCAACCACCAAGCCATCTAGGTGATGGTGATCACCAAAAGTAATAAGCACAAACTCTCACTTGACCAAGACAAGCCTAACGAGAAAGGTGGATGCACACTTGCTACTCCCTATGCACTAATAAGGTCCTTAATCTTAGATTATCAAATCTCAATTACCCCACTAGGTTCTTACTCTCTCTTGCACTCTAAAGGTGTTTCTCAGCTGAACAAATAGACAAGAGACCTCAAATGGACGAGTGGGATATGTATTTATACCCCCCATTCAAAACATAACGGGTTGAGGTCCAACCCAGCAAGTATCGGGATGACCGGACGCTTCGGTCAAGGTGACCAGACGCACCGGTCAGTGTAATACGCCAGCGTATCAGAAAGAGCCGTTTGCTCTGACCGAACTCTGGCCTGCGTCCGGTTAGCACCCACCGGATGCGTCCGGTCATAAAAACCCTCTCTGGAACCTTACTGTTGTTGACCGGACGCTGGCACCCAGAGTCTTGTCATTTCTCTGTTCAGCGTCTGGTCCGTGGTCAACAGCCTGTCCATGCTGCTACTGATACGGCTAGCGTCGCGTCCGGTGAGCACTGGTGTCCATCGTTCGGTCGCACTCTGACTGCTGCTGCCAATCAAATAAATCGACCAGACTCTCCAAGCTGCATTCGGTCACAACCAAACCAGCGTTCGGTCAGTCATTTGACTCTTCATTTACTTCCAATTCGAAATTCTTTGTGAATGAAGTTGACTTCTATCGATCTTAGGGCTATTCTTGAGCTATCTAGTGCTAAGTTTGATAAATGTGTATAACACCTAATCCATTAGACTCACCTAGGTTAAGCTACTAGTCCACAACCCCCTTAATAGTATGGCTAAAGGAAAAACAAAGTCCTATACTACTCTAAGTGTCTCTCCAGCATCAAACAACACTTAGAACTAGTCCATCCTTAACCTTGTCGTCCATCCTTTTTGAAAACCGAAACGATTTCCATCGACAGGGGCATGACAACCATGATTGCCCAATTAATTTCCATTACCATGACATTCAAATTGCCTCTGCAAAACATACGTTAGTCATAGTAATGTCGTGTCGTCATTAATCATCGAAACCCAACTAGGGGCTTAGATGCTTTCATATATAAACAAATATAATTATTTTCTATATATGGTTTTACTTTACTGTTTTCTAGAATAATTTTAGTTACAAAATTATTGTGGCCATAATTTTTGTAATCACACTTTGTCATATAAGCCTGAATCTATTCTTTCATATTTGGATGATATATATTCTTGGGAATATTTAAGATTGATAGAAGCCTGAATCATATATATTTTTGCACATAGTTCTGACACTTACACATGTATGCTGATAGAAACCACATAGTTCTGACACACATGTATGCTGATACGAACCACATAGTTCTGACGCCTACAAATGTATGCTGTACAATGCAAGGTTTGATTGAAACATGAAAAGTAACTGAATTTAAGATCTTTCGGTACTGAGGTGACGGCTCACGGCTCATGATCTTAGACCAGCCGCATATGTAGTACTGCTTCTGATCGTCAGGCAGCGCACTAAGGTCCATTGTCATAATCATCTCTTCCTCCTTGTTCTTTAACTCTACCTCCTGTGCCTTGAACTCTAACTCCTTCTTCTTCAACTCAAGATTTAATATCTCATTCGCAACCCATTTCTTGTTCAAGTGCAAAAGCTTGTTTGAACCATTCATCTTTCTTTAGCTCCTTGTCAGTATCAAATTCTTTCTTCTTCGCCCGCAAGTTCTCTAAAGCTTCTGTACAACCTTTTTTGCCACTTTGATATGGCGCTGCTTTGGCGTTCTTGTGTTCCATTGGTCTCGACAATGTATTCTCCTCTGGAGCAGCAACTTCACGTCCTTCTATAGTAGAGATCGAAGGTGTAGCCAGATTCAAATTGAAGGTTTTCTTTTGCTTCTTATTAGATGACTTTGCAGCAACCAATTCGTCTAGTTTAGTCATCCATTTTGCTTGTCCTCTCAACTGTTTCCAGCAATTCTCAAACTGAAATGATCTTTTTTGGGGGTCTTCGGACTTGTACAAAGCACGTGAGTCCTCAATCTGCACACATGCAACACATGTATTGGAAAGTCATTAAATTGTAATTTATGCATAAGAAGGAAAAACATATGCTTGTACATAGCTGGTTAGTACCTTATCTTGCATTGTAGCACCACTTTGTCGTCTACCCTCAACCTAGAGAGACATCCTGTAAACTTATTCACACTGTCTTGTATAGTAGACCAACGGTGCATAAGAGAATTTTGCGTACGGTCTGAGGGGAAGGGCAAGTTTTCATGGAAGCACCACTTTGTCGTCTACCCTCAACCTAGAGAGACATCATGTAAACTTATTCACACTGTCTTGTATAGTAGACCAACGGTGCATAAGAGAATTTTGCGTACGGTCATGGAAGTAACATGAATTCTAGTCCAATACGATTTATGTGTTTGTTTTGCTCCTGTGATTGGATCCAAGCTCACATTCAGCCACGTAGAAACTAAAATCTCATCTTCCTTCTTATTGAAATTCTTTGATCTCTCGTGATTTGGTCTTGCAGAGGAGGCTACTGGAGTCACTACCACTTTATGTGATTGTTGCTCATTACAAGGGGTGCTAAAATCTTCAAAATCCACTGGATGAGTGTCTTCAGTCATCATGTTGGTATAATAATTTCTGTTTGCCGCCATAGATCCTTGTAAAAAAAATTAAAAACACCAACCTTATATAGAGAATTAGATATATTACTTTTACATCTACACTTAAGCCAACTTGGTTCACAGAATATCACACACACACACACATCTATACAGAGGCAGGCATCAAGCAAGCAGCTAGAGAGGGAGATGAACAGGGACAGGGACAGGCACAGGCGCTAAGACTGGCCATGGGTCAACTTTGGAGTTTGCCGGATGAGCTACATAGTTCAGGTATACTGGAAAGGATTGGCTGCTATTATTGCTGGACAGATGCCCGAAGGAACAGCAATGCCTCATCTTGCTACTTTTCTGGAGGACTTGGCACATGCACAACAATATCACACATAGCCACAACCCGCTTTTGTACGCCGCCGCGCACAGCATGCCCCGGGGCGGCCCCAGCTGGTCGTGGCGGCCGCATCTGTTGGTGCTCGTGGCCAAATTGCAGCAGCACCTCTCTATGCCGATGAAAGGACGGAAGGTGTGAAAACTGCCAGCGGAATGGCGTGCACGGGAGGAGGAGCGCGGGAATTCTATACCAGAACGGGGCACGAGCGCGGGAAGAGAAGCGCGGGAGAAGATTGGGTGCGCGCCGTTGGTCTGCACATATGAGGGGCGCGGGCTCAATTTTTCAGAGTGAACAAATCTTGGGGAAGGTTTGGAGAGTTGTTGGACCCGTGTTTTTTCTCCTAAGCACGCAAATTTCAGTTTTGGGGTATTATTAGTCTTCTCTTGGAGATGCTCTTAGTACAATTAGGTTGTGTGTTCACTTTTGTATTCAGCAAAAATGCGTTTATTAGGGTCAGTTGTTAGAGCTTTGGTTGCAGCCAAAACAGCTCTAGTTATCACTTCTCTATAAAACAGTTTTTTTCTCTAGTTAAAAAAAACTTTTTTAATAAAACAGCTCCTTGTGGTTGTTTAAAATGATGAAACGTGTATAATACCTCCACCCGCCCCGTGGACCCTCTCCCCGTCCCGTGGCAAATCAGAGAACAACCATACGATGGGCCATGGGAGCAAGAGGAAGCCAGCTGAAGCTCTTTCTTGCCGGCTCCTCCTTCCTTATGCAGCTCCCGTCATTGTTTTTCTGATGCAGCTGTTTCAATTTTGAACGTTTGGTTGGAGAGATGATGATACCGGTGAAGTTAGTAAAGAAGCTCAAGCAAAGATAATATTAGAATCACTTTTGACTCACGGACCCGAGAATCCACTTCATTCGGCACGTACTCACGACATCCCCTTGTCCTTCGATCGATCGCATCACAACAGATAAAGACGATGGAAAAGTTGGCTACTCGATTATGACTTGCTTCGGCAAAACGCATCCGGTGCTTTATATAACAGGACAAGTTAACTTTAGTTGCTCCAAATCTTAGAGAACAGTGATTGCTCTAGCCGATTTTGCAATAAAGAGCGCATGACCTACTTTTTGTGTCGAACAACATGCATGCCTTATCAAGCTAGGATCGTGCAGTGGTGGTGCTTAAGTCCTCGGGCTCAACGGAGATTGTACTTTAGAGCTTGTATAAGGATCAAAGGAAATTACTGTATAGGACTAGTAAATATGTTAGTGCGTTACAACTTACAACACGAAAAAAATTCTAATAATATAGTATAAAACTTAACATTATGCAATATTGTTTATACATGCGAGGCTTTTGGGCTGCTAGTAGCATCGTGGGCAATTGGCATCCATTACACGGTGGGCTTGCCATGGTTTGAACTGCATTGTCCATATCTCCAGAAATGCGATGGAATTAAATGTTGAGTGGTTCAACATCTTTTCTGTGCCGCGAAAGGGTCTCTAGCCTAGTGGTTAGAGTACCTCAGTAGCATTTAGTAGGTATGTGGGTTCAACTCCCTGTGAGAGCGAATTAAAAAGGCTTAGAATAAAAGAAAATTAAAAAATAGATTGGGGTTTCTCTTGCTGACTTCAGTTCGAAAGAAACATCTTTTCTATGCCTTTCTGTTATTTGAATTCTTTTAATTTGAGATTATTCTCAATGTATATATCTCCGCATTCCTCTCAACTCTCTTATTCTATCAAAAACTGTTTTTCGTCCCTTAGAATTTGTTTCATGACTGTAACAGAAAGTCTAATTTACTTGAACTAGGCCCAGGCCCAACACTCATCTAACCATTAGCCACCACCACCTATTTTATTTCCAAAAATACCTTGCCATTCTTATCCACAAAGCAGTCTCTGGGTCCTTGTTTCTTATCCACAAAGCAGAAACGGTACCTGCTACTCTACTCAAGCGGGAAACACACACATCAAAGCAGCCAAGAGCCAAGCACCAAAAGCCTGAAAAAACCACCATCAGCAGAAGTCTCCCTCCCTCCCTCTCTTCTCCTCACATAGTCCGCAGCAGCCCTCTCTTTTTTCACTGTTGTCTGCCATCACAGACAAGTTCAGGATGAAAGGACCTAGGCCCCGTTTGGTACCCAGCTCCTGAGCCGTTTTTTCTAGCTCCCGGTACCAAACAGCTTGTTTGCCATTGTTTGCCGCCATCAGCTCCGAGCTGGGAGCCCCGTGTTTTGCGCTCTCACAGGCAACGTGCGGCTGGTGGAGCTAAAAAAAAAACGAGCTTCTCCCAGCTCCGAGCTCGCGCCAATGGGCCCAAGCGCGTGGAGGCCAGATTTGCCCTCGACGGCATGTCCGCATGGCTGACGCGGGATGGCGGGCGCAGCCGCTGGGGCATCCACGAGCGGGGGGCGCGGCCGCGGAGGCACACGAGGGCGCTGCCGCTGGGGCAGGACGGAGGTCGCGTAGGCATCGAAGCAGTCTGGGGCAGATCTACGTTGGCCCAACTGGGTGCGGCGCACCCAGCCAAATACCAAAAGCCTGGTAGTATATAGATTTTTACCCTATTTGCACCCCCTGGCCCAAACATCTGCACCCACAGCCAAGCGTGGAGAGCCCACAACAGCCCCCAATTCCCAACTGAATTGCAGGAGTCGGCCCACAAGACACAATCTCACGTACGCAGCTCTCCGTGTCCGCTGTCATCCGACTCTTCGACTGCACGGATTTTTTTATTTTTAATCCTTTTTAATCCAGTATTTTAATAATAATCGCTTCAAAAAAAATTTCCGAATATGACACGACCAAATAACGTTATTGCGTCACATACATTGGCGCAACAACATCTGTCACGTTAGATGTCGTTTCATCGCGCCACTCCGGCTAGCGTGACAATATTGTTCTGTTGCGCCACCAGAAGTGGCGTGACCAGATCGAAACTTTAAAAAATTATAACTCTTTAATACGATGTTGGATGAAGATGAACTTTATATAAAAATTATAGCCCTCGATGAGATCTATAACTTTCTAGTTTTGAGTTTTTTCATTTGAGAACTTTAAGAAGCTCCAAAAATTAATATAAAATTTCAAAATTATAATAATCGCGTACTAGTGTTTGTCACATTAGAAAAATAATATCTTTTCTGTATGTTGTCAAATAAAGATATTTTTTATATCAAAGTTGTAGCTTTCAATTAGATCTACAACTTTGTAGTTTTCAGTTTTTATATTTGAGGTCACTAAGATGCACGAAAAAATAATATAAATTTCAGCAGCTTAATAATCGTATATTAACATTTGTCCTATTAGAAAAATAATATCGTTTTTGTATAATGTCAAATGTAGATACATTTTATATCAAAGTTGTAGCTCTTAATGAGATGTACAAGTTTCATGTAAAAAGTATTTTTATGCGACATCAAATAATAAATATATGATTTTTCTAAAAAAAGGCTGTGAAACATGATTAATATGCTATTAAATTTTGTATTATCATTTTTGGGTAATTTAACTATCTCAAATGAAAGACCTCAAAATTAAAAAGTTGTTGATCTCATAGTTAGCTATAAGTTTAGTATAAAAAGTATGTTCAGTTAACACCAAATATGAAAAAATATAATTTTTGTAAAACGACAAGACCTAGTGCATGATTATTAAGGTGCTAAAATTATATATTTTTTTTTGCATGTTAACGATCTCAAATGTAAAAACTAAACACTACAAAGTTGTAGATCTAATTGAGAGCTATAACTTTGATATAAAAGTATCTTGATTTGACAACATACAAAAAAGATATTATTTTTGTAATGCGACAAGCACTAGTACGCGATTATTATGGTCCTAAAATTTTATGTTAATTGTTTAAGCATCTTAACTTCCTCAAATGAAAAAATTCAAAACTAGAAAGTTGTAGCTCTCAATTTTTATATAAATTTCATCTTTAACCAACGTCGTATTAAAGAGTTATGATTTTTTTAAATTTCAGTCTTCTCACGCCACTCCCGGTGGCTCGACACGACAATACTGTCACGCCAACGAGGGTGGCATTGCAATGTTTTTCATGTCGGAAACGTCGTCCAACGTGGCACATCTTGTCGCGCCAGCCCCACTGGTGCGACTAAAAAGGTTAGATCTGAATTTTTTTAGCGGTTATTATTAAAATATTGAATAAAAAATGGTTAAAATATAAAAATTCTCTGCTCCCGCGGCCTTGTCTCTTTCTCGTTCTGCTCGTCGATTCGTCTTCGCGGCTCGCTGCTCCCCTCCACGCACAAGCGATCAGGGAACTAGGGAAGGCATCATGCTCTTGTGGGCTAGCAGATCGACGGCCGCGGCAGGCGGCGTTGCTGCTGCTGGGTGCTGGGCGCACCAGCGCAGGCAGCTGCGCAGGTGCAGTCCGACTGCCTCCCTGCTCTTCTATCATCCTTCAAAAAGTAAGGAACTTCATCGTTCTTTTTTTTTCAATTTCAATCAAGTCTAAATGTCTAATCATCCGATGATTTAAATTTGTAGTTCTTGTTAGTTTGTCCAAATTTCAGGGTTAGGGTTTTGTGTTCGTTCTGTCGTATTTATTAATTTTTTGTGGGTGCTTGGAAATACATTATACATGGAAAGATTTTATAAAAGAAAAGCACGAGACAGCGGTAGTGCCTTAGTGCAAGGAATTCATGTCATCAAGATGACATTA